CCCCAAAACCCCAAAACCCCAAAACCCCAAAACCCCGTATACAGAACAAAAAATGAATTCTAATTGCGGTATTTGTTACACTGGAAATCACAAAGAAGTAGCTTACCCTCTCAGAGCTTATGACTCCATCTGAGTGGCCTCTCCTCAGCTTTTACATTCATCCACGTATTTTTTCAGAGTATGTGCCGTTCTGGGGGAAAGTTTGCTAATGTCGAACTCCAGGCTTTCCTTCTGGATTTCTTTTCCTTTGGTAACTATTTTAATAACTCCTTTTATTTGATTAGTCTTTAGCTCAAAGATGTTCTCTCGTAACTTCCTCTTTTCTTGTTTACTAAGCCGAGGGAATACACTTGGTTGATCTATAATCACTTTTGTTTTGAGGATGAAAAGGAGAAAGATTTTGGTAATATAGAAATTTTACAAATTCACAATAACCAGTTTCACGTTCACCACAAATAATCATTTCAAATACTTTTCAAAATGTTCAGAATTATATGAGGCACCGTTCTCTGCTAAATCAATTTGGCAGGAAGCTAGACCATTTTGAGTGTCTAGTTAGTAGAGTAGTCCACAGACAATATAGTTTGGGGATCTGTATAGTCTCTTTACGAAAATTCTTACTAAAAGATTCATATCCAACAATAAGATTTTGCTAAAATTAAAATTTCTGCTTTTGATCACAAATCGAATAATATTTTTATATAAAATAATTCAGTAAAAGCTGAAAAAATTTGCTTGAGATCATGTCGATCCAGTTTTTGAGATATTACCTCCATTACTCTTAGCTTCCTGAGGAGGAGCTTGATCTGACTGAGAAGCAGGTTTTTCAACCTTTCACTCTTCAGCTTTTTGTATAGAATGAGCCTCAGAAGGTTTCTTCTTAGGACCCACTTCTTCTTCACTCTTAACTATAAAGAAAAGTGTAATCTTGAAACTAAGAACGAATATCAATTGTAGCGAATCAGTGAAATTTAATGACTACTTACATGAGCTTATCGATTCAGAAATATCAAGCTCCTTATCATAGTTCTCTTCTGATTTCTTATCTTCATGTTCAAACCCATTTCTGAATACTTCATCTCTATCCTTCACCACTGGGGCCTTTGAAGGGGTAGTTGAATCCTTTTTCTTTATTATATCATTATTTTCAGGAAGGTTTCTTTCAATAAAACTCATTTTATCACTATTCGAGATAACACTATCTGTTTTCCCAGACTTAGCTTTCTTCTTTCTCTTGTTTTTCCTTCTGATCATTTGATTTTTAGTAGATTCTTCAGGCTGAAATTTATATGTATTCCCAGGGAGTAAGCTGTGTAAGTACGCACACTGAATCTGATTCAACTCAATTGCATGTTTCGATACATCAATGTCATCATACTTGGCTAATGGGTCATCGAAGTTATCTATATGGCTCATAAATCACCCAAAATTATTGAAAATTTATAAGTTTAGAGATAAACCAATCCGAATTTTTAGCAGTTTGGAAGAATGGAAATATGCTAATTTAATATAAATTTTATATAAAAAGCTTACTTTCCGGAATTTTTTGGTCCATAGTATTATTATTCTTTGTTGTTTCCATATTTAATTTATCTCAATATAGAGCCTAAAAACGGGGTTTTGGGGTTTTGGGGTTTTGGGGTTTTGGGGTTTTGGGGTTTTGGGG